TGGGGGCGTAAATCAGTTGTTTGACGATGTCGGGTTTGCGTAGGCCTACTTTGTACTGGCTTGATTTTACCTGCGATAAGCCTATACTATGGGCTTCCATGGTCTAACGGTATGGAACTCGCATTTATAGGTAAGTTAATATAATATAAAATTAGAAAAAAAAATAGACAAGGGCACAATTATCCAATTCATAGATTCAAGAACTATGAGCTTACAGTTTGTAGCAAAGCACTCCCGCAAAGCACTATAATCAGGGCGCATTTTATGAGAAATAATTTGTCTGAAAATAAACCATCTCTCTAGAAAAAGTTCTCAATTCAATTACAATAAAGAATCACTCGTTCATTAAAAGTATTCAAATACGTAACTATTGCATTAACCGTCTTTTTTTCAGGATTATGTTCTTGTTTATTTTCTAGCATGAATTTGTAAAACAATCATCTTACATGCTTTAGTCCTATCTTCCGTGTGTTTTCTCTAAATTGTTATATTTATACAGCTAAACTATCTGATTTTCTTTAATATTGCTCCTTCCGCTTTTATAGTCGTCTATAAGATATAGGCCCTACTGTCTTTAAAATGAGTATAAGTTGTGCACTGTTTTATAATGCATTAACAACAGTGCATGTAATAATAATAATAATAATAATAATAATAATAATAGTAATAGTAATAGTAATAATAATAATAATAATAATAATAATAATATTAATACATACATACATATATACATACACACATACACACATACATACACCCACACACACACACATACACCCATACACCCATACACCCATACATACATATATCATACATACATGCACACATCATACATACAAGAATAATTATTATTATGATAGCCTAATAATAATAATCTTAATGATGATGGTGATGATAATGATGATGATGATGATGATGATGATGATGATGATGAAAATGTAAAAATATGCTAATGCACCAGCCATGTAACTCATATCTTAAATACCACAAACTTCACATTCGTTCAGCAGCGGCAAACAAATGCTAGTGTTCTAATAAAGTACAATAGTATTATTAAATAAACATCATCGTGGTACACTAACGTGTTATTTTTACTACACTGCAATATTTTTTCTTTTATAGGTAGCATTAAGCCAGGACTTATATAGTATGTGTATAAACATATAAGTTATTGTATTAACTTTCGATAGTTGTATATGCGAAAATAAGATTCTTTTAAAACGTAAAAGCTATGGATGGAAATGAGAATTGCGAATTTTTAACCAGTGTGTCTGTGTTACACTAATATCATTGAAAAATACATAATAAAGAATAGCCTAAGAGATAAGTATTGATGAAGTAAATTTGAATTTGAATGAAGTTTGAAAGAAGTTTGAATTAATTATTTGCTTTCAAAGTTATTTGCTGTCAATTATTGGAAACTGAACATAGAACATTTGCGGAATAATTTCCCCTTGAATAAACAAAAAAATCAAGAGGTAATAATTTTCCCGGTTAGTAATTTATCATACCCACCCCAAACCCCCAACCACACCCCCTCCCCCATATAGAAAGCAATACGTCATAGGGCTTATCTTATTTACAATATAGGCCACACACGTGTGTTTGAAACTATATAAGCATTTTCATCATGGTTTTATTTATTACAAACATATTCTTTCACCATCAATACACATTGGTGCCCTTCCTTTAGGTAAAACGATCTATCTTAAATTTTCTTTCTTGAGTTTGGGACTATTATGTATTTAAATAACCCAAAAAATCTAACCCAAAAAATCTCTTAAAGAAAATGCGCGCGAAGCGCGCAAAACATGTTTTTTTTTAATTCTAATTTCGTCGGAATTGATCAAAACTCCCTAAAATGTGCAATTTTTAGAGGAAATTGGCCTACTCTAAATATGCGCGCGAAATTTTAGATTTTTAGGCACTTTCTGGCGGCTTAGATCAAAGGAGCTATGGACACTTTTTGAAGTGGAGAAGGGGTTGCAGGGTGTTGTGAGTCTGGTCATTAAGATATCTTCCTTTTTATTCTTGTCTTTATTTTCTCTTCTCTTTTTCTTTTCTTTTTTCCTTTCCTTTCCTTTTCCCCTTCTTTCTCTTTCCCTCCCCCTCCCCTCTTTCTTTCCCAGCCCGGTACAACGGCTTGCTCTTATACACATCTAGATGTGTATAAGAGACAGTTGGAATACTGAGTATAATACATAATCCAAGTATCGAAATGCACGCCATCGTGTTTCGTGCATTTCGTTACTTGGAGTAGCCTATGTATTACACTATCTTATCTGAGATTAACCAGTTGACATAAAGGTAACTAACTGTCTGAGCATATTTATGAAATAGCGCCCTCACTATTCTTTCAGAACCATCTCACACAGGACGCGGGACTACCATTTTTGCAACGCTACTATTTTGATTACAATATACAGGGTTGATATGAAGGTATAAATTAGTTTTAATAATTTTAATAGCTCCATGATCATATTATATCTACACAGAATTACATTCCTGTAGCAGGTCGTATCCAGGTTTGCCAAAATGAGCTAAATGGTGCCACAAGAAGGCTTGATAGGATCACACATTTTATTGTGATGAGTTCAGAAGCTTTATGCACTGTCTGGTTACATTATTCTTTTTTGTGCCAAAAATATTAAATTTGACTACCTTCTTGCGTGAATATCTTCTGACTACCTTCTGGCAAGACTACTGTATCGAATGAATTAAATACTCGAAGTCGATAAGGATCAGGGATGATGGATGGTCTCACAGCAGAAAAGCTACTCGTACATGATACGAATTTGCAGATACTTAAAATTTGTCTTCCTTGCTGCCCGCCTTCCCTCACACACCATATATAAAGAACTATTATTTTTTTCGTTAAATTCTTTTATTTTGTTTTAGATTCATAAGGCACTCAGCTACAATATTAACACACGAATTTCTGTGTTTCATACGTACAGTAATGTTGTTGCGCCCTCTATCAAACTACATTTACATAAATAATAATAATATACATACGCTTCAAGCTACCAATGCCTCAAAGATCTTCACATTATAAAGTCAACATTAAATAAATAAACAAAATATGAATGTATTTTTATAATTATATATTTTGTAAAAACTATTTTTAAAAACCTCTTGATTTTTTTGTTTATTCAAGGGGAAATTATTCCAATTTATTGCACCGATAGAGGAATTCTAGACCCAAAAGTAATAATTTCAAATTATTCAGTTAAAGATAATCTATTATAAAGTATCATATCAGAAAAGAACTTCAGATAGTTTATGAAGTTTGGCTACTTGATATCTTAAGATAGTAGAATAATGGGGAAATATGGGCTAAAATGAGAAAAGTCATAGGCTACATATGACACACATTTTTGCATAACTAAAATAATGGTTTTAAATAAAATATTAAATATAATTCATGACGCAAAACGCTAAACTATTGCATACCAGGCAATTTATGAGTTTAATAAAGGGAGAGTAAAGCTGAGTAAAGATTAAAATGTTAAAGACTGTTTTATAACGCACAACATTCTGGGATCTTAAATCTTAATGTGGGAGGACCATGGAGGAAACTAATTCCTCAGATGGTAGGACAATGTATAGCAAACGATGCAGGCTTGATTATGTTTTAGTCCACAAATGGTCTATGTTCAGTTTCCAATAATTGACAGCAAATAAATTTGAAAGCAAATAATAATTCAAACATTTACTTCATCAATACTTATCTCTTAGGCTATTCTTTATTATGTATTTTTCAATGATATTAGTGTAACACAGACACCTGGTTAGAAATTCGCAATTCTCATTTCCATCCATAGCTTTTACGTTTTAAGAATCTTATTTTCGCATATACAACTATCGAAAGTTAATACAATAACTTATATGTGTATACACATACTATATAAGTCCTGGCTTAATGCTACCTATAAAAGAAAAAATATTGCAGTGTAAAAATAACACGTTAGTGTACCACGATGATGTTTATTTAATAATACTATTGTACTTTATTAGAACACTAGCATTTGTTTGCCGCTGCTGCAACGAATGTGAAGTTTGTGGTATTGAAGATATGAGTTATATGGCTGGTGCATTAGCATATTTTTACATTTTCATCATCATCATCATCATCATCATCATCATCATCATCATCATCATCATCATTATCATCACCATCATCATTAAGATTATAATTATTATGCTATAATAATAATTATTCTTGTATGTATGATGTGTGCATGTATGTATGATATATGTATGTATGGGTGTATGTAGGTGTGTGTGGGTGTGTATGTATGTGTGTATGTGTGTATGTATATATGTACGTATGTATGTATGTATGTATGTATGTATGTATGTATTATTATTACTATTATTATAATTATAATTATAATTATAATTATAATTATTATTATTATTATTATTATTATTATTATTATTATTATTATTATTATTGTTACATGCATTGTAAAACAGTGCACAACTTATATTCATTTTAACTGTGGAAGGTTACCTGTTGGTAAGAACGAACCAACAGGCATAATAATGTAGTATACTTTATCTCTAGCGTACTAATGAATGATTATTGATATGATAAGGACTCCTGAATAAACAAAAATAATATGATGTATCTTTCTGTATTGGTTCAATAAACAAACTGAAAACTAAAATATTCTTCTGACTCCATTCCGTTTGACACCTGTGAAGACAAAACGAAACACAATCCTCACGCACTGAAAATCACAAGTTTTAATATTCGTGATGGCAACATAGTATGAAACTGCCATCCGTGTAGTGAACGTGATTGGAATTATATGTCGATGATCCTCTTCATCACTCCCTTTAAAAAATGGTGATTAGAATCAACGGATGCATCTATTAAGAGCAGTCACACATCTTACTTCAAGAACTGTCCATTAAATACATCTGTGAGTTTTGTATGCGCTTTGATATCATCAAATAAATGAATTGTGCTGAAGAGAATACGTACACAATAATTAAATCATTTTGATTTAATTTCATCTACTTCAGTATGTCCTTGTATTCATGCAATGTAATACTTAGCGGTAACCCTTTTTTATATATTTTTTTCTTTAAAAATGCAAATAACAGTGATGTATAGCCAACAGCAAAGCACTGTACAAGAAATCGCAATGGACCAATATGTAGTTTATGGTAGCACAATGACTATCCACCCTTAATCGCTTTTGCTTCGCCCCCCCCCCCCCTTTACCCTTTTGCTTCGCCCTCTTCACCCTTCTCCATTCCGGAACGGGTTTTTTTTTTTTTTTTTTAACTGAAGATTATGAATAATTTGTTATGAATGTGGAAAATATCAATAAACAAACAAACAAAAACAAACAAAACTATTCATCCCTGGACCAACGGATGGCCTTATAGGCAAAACACTTGGTTTGGACCCCTGGACTGTCAACCATTGTCAGCAAATCTTTGAACCATCGCTGCAGAAAATGAGATGAATAAAAGTAACTTTATGATTATTCAATATGTGGTTAGAACCCACTAATAAATTACGATGTAGTAAGGTTTCAATTTCAGTTCAGTAAAGTGTAGAAATCTACGTCACAAACTAGGCTGTGTTTTAGGCTATGTCTCCATCTTATTAAAATTGTGTATAGTATGCAAAAACATAATTTATTTTATCGATCCAGCATAGGCCTTTTTTTTAATCTATAGCGATTTTACCTTATACATCAATGTATCACGGTACTTAAACATTTCATATTTATTCTTTCTTTAAAATTTCTCAAAAGCCATTAGGCTTACCTAAGATCCACTTATCATGTTAACTCCTCAAATGTACAATTCGATATCCATTTATGCGACTTTGGTACACTGTGCGATCTTATGCTACTAAAAATAAGTAGGCTAGACTAAGACAGAATTTAAGGTGCAAGGAACTCTAGCTATCGACTATTTCAGATAGTGGCGTTTTCTCTGAGAAACTGCTTCATTTTGCTAAAAAAAAATACTACTATAGTAAGCATATTACTGTAAAAACTATATAAAGTTAGTAGGAATTAATTTAACTATTTCCATTTCAGTGATAAGCCCCATGTATTGCGTCCGTTTAAACAGCTTGAATATGCTACCAACTTGATGTATAAGTATTCATAAACTGTCCATCTTGTGAATAGATGCAATCAACGCAACAAGTGACTGTCAGACAATCTGTGACGTGACTATTATGGAAACTGTCATTAAACCAGTTATTACAGTATTCTTCAAAACGTATGCTAAAATTGAAGCAATAAAATGTATAGAGCCTACTACTAAATAACATAAATAATTATTGTAACAAACACTTTTCTTACAAAAGATCTACCAATATAGTGCATAAAACATCATCCGTGCTTCTGATAATCGAAAATCTCTATCTATCACTTATAGGCCTATTAGTAAGATATACTACAGTTTTTTTTATACAGTATTAACTGTAAAAACAGTAAAAGTAAGGGTATAGTTCTCTTTATGACATTCTCCAACTATTCATTTTAATTAATAACTATTCATTAACACTATGGTAACTGTCTACATCTATCGCATATACATACTGATCCCGTTCGGTAATATCAAGACGACAGCTAAATAAGCATTGATCGCATAAATCGGAACGAAAGTTCCTCATTAGTATACTATTTTTTTTTTCAAAATGGCGCCTCTTTACAATCCGTGGATACAATAGATTCTTCGCGTCGTTGAGTGACGTCTGTTGTCCTGAGGACTGACCTCTGAACGCCAAGAATAGCAGTGTAGCAAAACTGCAGACGAATACTTTGATTTTCTAATTTTCTATGGAGATCATGAATCATTTTTTTAAGACGGTCACGTCGATGGAGATTTAATTGCTGCCTTAGTCTTTGCTTCTCTACACGCCTTACACTATCTTCAATCTGCGCCTGTTCAATTTTGGCGCTCGTTTCTTCTTTTTCTTCACGCAGTCGTTTCACCTTTCCTTCCAAACTATTACGAATGTCTCTTAAAGTTCGAAAGCTTAAGTTGGTGTACACGGCAGAACTGTATTCCATGTCTTCAGACGCTGCCCGATGCCTTTGCATTGGCAATCGGTTGGAGACGTCTGCCTTACATACCACCCCACAACTATTAGAATGAACATCTGACTTCATTAGTCGACTGTCTGCAAACTCTGGAGAACAACTTTCACGGGAACTACATCCGCAAGAGTTCAACCCGTCGGGGATTGTCCATTTTTCTCTTTCAGATTCAAAATCTAATTTCAATTTTTGTGATTTATTTGTAACATTTTTGGCACCGCTGTTCACATGTACATAGTCTGACATTGTTAATAACTCTTGCTTAAGATGACTGGCGTCGAATACGCGGCTGCCAATCACAGACCCATCTGAATTTGTTAACAGGTTGCGATCGATTTCATCAAGAGGTGTCTTGGGTTCCATACAATATTGAAGTCGCATGGTTGATCTTAAGACACAGATGCAATGACCGATGAATGCGTAGAATCACAACTAAAGAAGAAACATAGATACACATTTATTATAATGATAGACATTATACATTTAAATTCATTCCATACAGTTGCTGCGATAAATCATTATATATTTTAGTCATGTTTTTCTTTCATGTATTCTTGCATAAAGTAAAAGATTGTCAAAATTTAATAGCACCTGCACGAACATGTAAACATTAAAACAAACATCTAATAACATCACCATTACATTTTATAGCAACATATAAATAAACAAGACTGTCTACATACCACATGCATCAAGTACAGAAAGTGTCAATACCACTGTCATCATCAGGGCCAGATCAACATAGGGGTTTTGGGACGCCAACCACAGGCTCACAGGCCCCAATGGGGGAAAAATAGGCCCCCCTGAACCCGGCCCCAGGAAAATCTGGTTTTATGTTTTATCCACAAAGTATTTAGGCCCACTTGCAATTACAGCCCCAAACCCCACAGTGTTTTAATCCGGCCCTGGTCATCATTTGTACACGGTCGTTTGTGTACACTAGACTTATCTGTGATTTCAGCAGTGGCGTAAACTGGTGGATAAGTTTACCATACAGATGTCGGATTGTTGGCAAGTTTGGGGCAACTTCTTTCGCAGTAACAGATTCCTCTCCTTTACC